TCCTATGGCTGAAATGATGATGATGATGATGATGATTTTACAAATAGCTTTTGCCCGCGACTTCGTCCGTGTAGAAGTCGAAAAAGTTCTCATAGGATTTTTAAATGGTTTTTAACGTAATTATCTAAATGTTTGAATACTATTTGATCGTTTAAACACAGTGAATGATTCAATTTCATAAATTTTTAATGATACTTTTCACGGCTTCGCTCTCATGAATGTTAACGACCGTCAAAAGCACGTCGATAGATGGCGTTTTTAAGGATATTTCTCACCTCTTAACTATTTATTGAAATTTAGTTTGTCACATATCGTCATAAATTGTAGCCTATATATTAGCCTGGGTTATAAATAATAATACTGTAAAGTTTCAACAAAATCCGTTTATTAGTTTTTGCGTGAAAGAGGAACAAACATCCAGACATCCAGACAAAAAGGTTACAGTGAGCCAACCATAAAAGATAGACATATGCTGTAGCGGACTTTTTTGTAGAACTTTTAAAGGGGAAAATCCTATCATACATAATTTATGCGAAACTTTAACCGTTTACGCAGCGTCAGCTCTCAAAAGGAAAAAAATCACTGATTTGAAACATTCTTCATTGGTGCTCCGCTCCTAGTGGTCTTAGCGTGATGATATATAGCCTAAAGCCTTCAGGGATTAACGGACTATCCAACACAAAAAGAATTTTTCAAATTGGTCCAGTAGTTCCTGAGATTAGCGCGTTCAACCAAATAAACAAACTGTGATTAATAAATTGCGCCACTACAAACCGTACCAACAGATGGCGCTGTTACGATCTTACTATGGCAAACTCCACCGCGCATACAATCCTGCATCGCGGTGACGAAGTTTTTTACCCTGCCCAGTATATATAGACAAACCAAGATAGCGAAATTAGATGCACTAACACTATAGCTTCCTTATGGTGATAGAGCGTCATGTTTCCACAACTTCAGCTTTATAATATTAGTATAGATGTTTGCAATTGATTTTGTGAATTAAATTGCTAAAATATTTTTATAGTCGTGAAAGAAAAGTGGTTCACGATGTGTTAATGTATTTGTCGAAGATAAATACCAAGGGTTCGGACAATATTTTCATTGAATAATGTTTCCGACAAAGGTTGTCAAATTGACTGACATGTTTATCGTATAGTACAGTCCACTATGAAAATTAGCTGTAGTCTGTTTCAACTACTTATTTTAATGTTTTTTGTCACTTTCTAAGTTTTGAATTTTATGGAATTGGGAAAGAAGTACCGATTTTGAAGGGTTCATGAGCAGACATTGCAGTTGAATATTCAAGTTCTGAATTTGATTATTGATGAATAATAAAATAAATCCTACTAGCTCGATTGATGGTTTCATTTAATTTATTTAAACCAGGTTACCTTTAATAATATTTTTCGTTAATTTATGAAAATATCAAATTAGCCCGTAATCCTGAATCCTGATACATAAATTTAGCCTATTAATTTAACACATGTACGACTGTACTGTGTTGCACTATCAAATGCAATTGAAGCGCCTCTATGCCAGGGTTTTTATGTTCCTGGTCAGGCTATAACTATAATATTTTGTATATTTTAAAGACTGTAAACTCTTGAAAAGGAGGCTGACAATAGTGACTGAGTTTCTTGCGCTGCTTCTTCTCAGCACTGGCCCATTTATTGTCCCGAAGCAGTGGTAGGATTAATATTGGGACGTGTAAAAGTGCTTTCTAAAAGCCTATTTACAAAAATAAATGAATTTTATTTAATGAATTTTTATTTTACAGCACTGTTATTATTTTCTTTAATGGAAAATCGTAATATTTAGGAATGATAATTAACTGTAGTAATTTAAATAATTAAAAAAACTACACTTTTTAAATAATTTTAAAATACTTATGACAAAAAACTGTAGCAAAAAGTTATTTTAGCTAATAAACACATTTACTTTAATTCACCGTGTCTATTTTCCGACACTACCCCTTTTAAAACTTTAAAACTGTTTGTCCAATTTCGAATTATCGCAACACTGAAGTTTATTAATAGGGTACTTTAGAGATGGTACGATTATCACCCTGACGCTTGAGCTGTGAGGTAGATCATTTCTGAACACAAAAAAAATGCGCTCTTGTGAGCGTAGTAGTAAGGTGCGATTTCGAATGCACCATGTGCATTTTATGTAATGAGGGTTTTCGCGAATGAAAAATCCGCCAGATGGAAATACGTAGACGCAAGGTCCAAATGCTTTACAATTGGTTATTTTTGACATGACATTGACAGATATGTCAAAATCCACCAATCGCGCAGCAGTCAGACCCCACATCCACGTCCCGCCATCTAGCGGATCTTTCATTCGCGAATACCCTCATTCAGCTCGCACAGCACTACGTACCTACAATTTTATTCACCTACAAGTTTTGTCTCTTTCTATCCTCTGAACTCTTTTTACGCTGTTAGGGTTGCTTTGCTGTCTAGTGAGTGATAAAATAGAATAAATCTACTTAGGTATTTGTAATGAGGTACGTATGTAGGTAAGTATTACTGTTATTCTACCTTAGCAAACAATAACATTTCAAATAATAACCTACTTAGGATAAAAAGAACTTAGTTTAATACTTGTTCTTTAATAGAAAATGTTTCAGAAGTGCCGCAATAGATGGCGCTGTACGTTTCCTGAATCGCGCAAAACAAGTTTTTTTTTCCTGACTTGACTATATACGACGCTCAGATTACCGAATCTTTCAAAGAAAATATTAACAATAATTTTTGAAGGCAAATCGTATAACTTTCAACGATCTGCCATACGAACCCAATTCCCTCTCCTTTTAGCCTAAACCATGGGTTACACTTGCATTGTTATTATTCCCTCACAATGATATCCAACTTTGATTTTAACCTTTTTACCGCCGCGTGATCTCAAATCAAATCATTTATTTATAGCCGGTTTCCTTTATTCAATCCAAATATTATGTCTGTCAACTGTCAATATGTTTTTGGTAGAATTATCTAGGTATAGTTCCAAAATACTGGACTGTCCTGTCGATGACATTGACAGTGGGGCGCCACCGTCAATACCGGATCGCTGGTTCAGATTTTTGCCATGTTGGAAACCATATAGTTGAACGATGGTAGCGCCCCCCTGTCATTGAGTTTGGTGGGACAGTTCAGCGTGGGTCATCTTTACTACGGTTTTCGATGATTTACATTTTCTTAACGTTTACAACAGGTGGTCCTTGGTGGGTTATATGCAAGGCGGGATATCTAAAGTGTGTTCTATCTATTTTCTATTTAGACACTGCGACAGACTTTTAGTAGGCCGATAGTTGAGTCAGCTTCCAATTTGTTTAAAGAATCGGCCGATACCAAATTGATGTAGTGTTTCTCATTTTTTTTAAACATTATTAGCAATTTGTCTACTCACGGACATTGCCCGCGGGCGGCGTGACCGGAGGGAGCGGCGAGCGTTCGGCGAACGAACGAGCAATGTTCGGTTCGCGAGCGAACATCTAAGAAGACGATCCTGACGCACTCTCTTCAACGACTTTGCACAAAACGGTCTCGATAACATTGTAAATTTATACCGAATAGACAATTATTTTAATACAGTCCACTCTTTTCATTAATAACTTCCACTACACTCACTATCGAAGTAAAACAATTTGTATTGCACAAATTACTAATAGTCCCGTTAGCCCCTCGTGTTAAGCTAAATAAGCTTGTGTTACGAGTGGGCTCACCACAATAGTCGAGCGGCGCTGGTTCCTCGGATCTCGAGTCGGCCAGTCCGACCCGTTCACCGTTCGGCAATCGTGGCTATAATAGGCTAGTTTCCTAAAAAAAATTTTTAGTCCGTCATGTTTAATATCAAAAAATATTGGTCACATATATTTTTATTTGTCAATCTAACAAATAATTACATAGTTATGGTGCGTTGAAGTTCCGCGCGACGTCACAAAGTGCGGCACTTTTATGCACTCATTGACGTCACGGGCCTCTTCTTAAGAACTTTGGCGCGCTTTATCTCTCTAAATTTTCATTAGTTTGAAAAAGTGAAAAATACGTGTAGAGTGTTTTTTGATAAGTTAACTGACGGACTAATTAAAACTCTTGCTTTTTGACCCAGGAAACATCCCTATTGGACCTACCTAGCTGAATCGTTTGTCCGAGGTAGACATACTTGTCAACAATCTCGAGAATCGAGCTCCCAACCGAAACTGGGTAGAGCGCAACATAGACATTCGACATAAGCTTCGTTTTGCCCATGTTCATCCGAAGGCCCGTTGAGAGACTCGATTAAGGTATTCGAGCATTTTCATACATTTTCATACTAGCGGCCGCCCGCGACTTCGTACGCGTGGATCCTGTTTTACCCCCTTTTCCCGAATTTTCTTTGCTATAAACCTCACGGAGCCCGAGACCTTTCCAACGAATGCAAAACCGTGGAAATCGGTTCGTGCGTTCTGGAGTTATAGCGTCAGGGAGGAAAACCCGACTTATTTTTATACAGGATGTTAGGTAAATGGGTATATGAGCCGACAGTAGCCTATGTTAACATGGTCATATAAATGGTATGGTGAAGTCAGAAATTTGATGAAATTTTTTTTTTTAAATTTTCATACAAATAAATTTTATAAATTCCGATTTGTATGAAAATTAAAATAATTAAAATGAAGATATCAATTTTCTGACTTCACCATACCATTTATATGACCATGTTAACATGGGCTAGTGTCGGCTCATATACCCATTTACCTAACAACCTATATAGTAGATATTCATTGTTCATACTGATTAACAGCCCGACAGCCGGTGGTCTGCGCCTGGGCTTAAAGTTTATAAAGCCTGGTCCTTGAGCACGTAGAATCCCGTCCAATGACCCCAAGCTACCCATCCTTATCGCTCGCGCGTAAATACATTGCTGTCACAACTGTGCGACGCGCGCCCACAGTGAGTGTGCGAGCGCGACAGCAACATAATTACGTGCGAGCGTTTTAAATGAATGGTCACCTTTCTCTGATGCATGGTCTTCTGCAACATGTAAAACAACACCTCTCTAGTCGCCTGTGCCTCTTGCTGTTGCGCCCTCCCCAATATACTCGTACCTGAAACATTTACAATTACAACTTGTTAATTACTTTTTTAGGGTTCCGTAGCTAAATGGCAAAAAACGGAACCCTTATAGATTCGTCATGTCTGTCTGTCCGTCCGTATGTCACAGCCATTTTTTTCGGAAACTATAAGAGCTATACTGTTGAAACGTGGTAAGTAGATGTATTCTGTGAACCGCATTAAGATTTTGATGCAAAAATAAAAAAATATTGGGGGCTCCCCATACTTAGAACTGAAACTCAAATTTTTTTTTCATCAAACACATACGTGTGGGTTGTCTATGGATAGGTCTTTAAAAATGATATCGAGGTTTCTAAAATATTTTTTTTTTAAACCGAATAGTTTGCGTGACAGACGCTTCCAAAGTAGGAAAAAGTTGCCCCCCCCCCCCCTCTAACTTCTAAAATAAGAAAATGAAAAATCTAAAAAAACATATGATGTACATTGTACATTACTACAAAAAAACTACCAACGAAAATTGTTTTGAACGAGATCTAGTAAGTAGTTTTTTTTAATACCTCGTAAATCGTAAACCGCTTATTACCGCGTAATCTTTCATACAAATAACTTAAATTTAAAAAAAATATTCATAAATCAATGGTACGGAACCCTTTGTGCGTGAGTCCGACACGCACTTGGTCGGTTTTTTATTACAGCTTCCATATCCCGTCCCGAAGTGGTGGTAGGGCAAGCTTATATTTGGGACGTGTATAAGTGCCCTAGAAAGGGCCTATGTACTGAACAAATTATATACAGGGTGTCCCAGAATGGGTGAATCAAACTGATCCCCTATCAGGTAGCTCTATAATGTACTATCCTTAAAAAATATTTAAAAAAAAATCGGATTTTTTTTTTCAAATAAAGTGCTCTTAACTCGAAATATAGTAATTATTTTCAAGTTTGTTTACAGATAAACGAAGCGATCATGTACAATTAATATTAGTAAGAAAAAAGTACTCCAAACGCAGCAATTATAGCCAGATACCTACTTAGGCAAAGCTCATTTCTTTTCTTTTAAAAAACACAATTTTTTGTTTCCTTATGCGTTTCTTTTTTCATATTTTTTAGGGATAGTACATTAGTAGAGCTACCTCCCCTATCAGTTTGATTCACCCATTCTGGGACACCCTGTATTTAAATTTGAATAAAAAATTACTAAATGAAGTCATCATCATCATTTCAGCTTATGAGAAACTAGCTGTGCCCGCGACTTCGTCCGCGTGGAATAATGACTTTGGGTAGGCACTTTTAATAATTTAGTCTAATTATTTTACAAATAGCTTTTGCCCGTGACTTCGTCCGCGGAGAAGTCGAAAACGTTCTCATACGATTTTTAAATGTTTTTAACGTTATTATCTAAATGTTTGAATACTTATAAAATATAAAAATCTTAAAGGTTAAATAAACATGAAAATAAATTTTTCTTATATTTTATGAATATGCAGCTCGGCCTTTGATCCGGTGAAAGTTACTCGGTGGTATTATCTTTTTACTACGAAATCGAAAACTACCTACCGCAGTATTATTGGTAAACTTTTTTTTTATTTTCCTACGGGTGCTAGCATCACCAAGCTTCTAGCATGCCACTGGCCGTGGGAGAAGGAGCTTTTCCTCAAGACTACTCCCACGAACTCAAGGGCCTCCGCCAAAACTCTCGCGCGAAAATGAGTTTTTGTATATACAGCGCAAGCAGGTGCCCGCGGCATGAATTGACCGTCATGCATTACTATGCATTGTAAGGCGAGCGCACGCAGCGGGCACCCACTCCGAGGTTAAGTGGAGGCCACTAAAATAACTTTCTACCCCTTTTTAACATAGTTAGGGGGTGCATTTCACTAAAATACGAAACACATCTTCCATTAATTCTGTTATAGAATGCTTATGCGAAATTTGAAGTAGATTGAACGAAGGAATCTCGTTATCCCATACAAACTTTGCCACCCCTTTTTACCTCCTTAGGGGTAGAATTTTGGAAAATCCTTTCTTATCAGACATACACTTCTTAACAGACTTACGTCTTACAAAGAACACACCGTCCAAGTTTCAGGTCTCTACGATCAGCGATTTAGGCTGTGCATTGATCCATCAGTGGCGCGCGCAGTACTTGATCATTATTTTGCTGCGATGATATTTTAAAACTGCGATATCTCCTAAGATATTTATTGAAATCGAATGGTGTAAAGGCCAAGTATGTTTAAAATTAAATACTTGTGATGAATAACTTATTTATTTGGATAAGGATTAATATCATGTTTATGAAAAAACCTCCGCAAATAATGCATTAATATAAAACAGATTTCTTTTTGCATAAAAAGGGTTACTATGAGCCAACCTTAATAGATAGACATATACTATCGCGGACTTTTTTTTAGAACTTTTAAAGGGGAACAATCCTGTCATACATGATTTTTGCGAAACTTTAACCGTTTACGCAGCGTCAGCTCTCAAAAGGAAAAAAATCACTGATTTGAAACATTCTTCGTTGGTGCTCCGCTCCTATTGGTCTTAGCGTGATGATATATAGCCTAAAGCCTTCAGGAACTAACAGGCTATCCAACACAAAAAGAATTTTTCAAATCGGTCCAGTAGTTCCTGAGATTAGCGCGTTCAACCAAACAAACAAACAAACAAACAAACAAACAAACAAACAAACAAACAAACAAACTCTTCAGCTTTATAATATTAGTATAGATGCTACATGATCACGAAAAACTTTATCTATACTAATATTATAAAGAGGAAAGATTTGTACCTATTTTTGTATGTTTGTAATGAATAGGCTCAAAAACCACTGAACGGATTTTGATGAAACTTTACAGTATTATTGTTCATAATCCAGAATAATATATAGGCTATAATTTATGACGATCTGTGACAAACGAAATTTCACGCGTGCGAAGCCGCGGGCGGAAAGCTAGTTGTATATAAAAGCAAAATTACTCAATTTAGCAGTGGACGTCCTATGGCTGAGATGATGATGATGAAGGATATATTTACCTCCCATATTACTGAATACTTTGACCGCGACAGGCTCCAAACCAGCGATGCATTCGGCATGAGCGCCAGACGCCATCAAGCCATCGCATAGTTGTATCAGCTGAAACACATGACATTTCTTTTCAACTAATGGTCGCACAGAAGATTTATTTTATTAAAATAGTAAGACACGGATCTTAACGCGACGTTTATTAATGAGTTACATTATGTACTCACGGCTTGACGTTTCGGCTGCGACGAAATGCAACGCGAAAGTTTAAAATCTTATATTTATTTTATTGTTTGAATATTAGCCATTTGTATTGAACAATTAAATAATAAACGCGTTAAGGCCTGTGCATTCCTATCATATTCCAAGGCCTACCAGGCTGCGTCAGATTTGTGTGGTGTGCACAGACCATTAACCTCTCCGCCTAAGTTTAAATAATGATCGTGTTAGTTTACAATACGACAGAAGAAGAGGTTAAAACTTTCGACCCTCGAATCGGCAAACTGTTATGTCTTTTTCACGTTCCTTTTTTGTCTTTGTATGAAACCCATTGTAATAAATGTTCCTTTCTTTCATAAATGTTGTATTTCCTCTATATTAAGCGACACTGCCGGAGGCAGGACAAAGAAAAGTTCACTTACCTTTGGTATCTCAATAATTTGCTTCGTATGATGCTTGGAGGAAGACAGTTGTACCAAGAATGTCAAGATGCTATTGACGAGGTCGCAACAGTTCCTGAAAATATACAAGAGTTTCTTCAGAAATATTTCACAGAAGTCATTTACTTATTCCATTAGTAATTTCTGCCTGAGTAACATTTTACTGTAATATACCTAGATCAAATTCAGTGTATGTGTAACTAGGACCCACAAAGGCTTCCCGCTAACTTTTTTTTATGTATGACATATCTGCCCTGTAAGTACTTATTCACTCTCGGCTTGAAAAGGCCCGGATTCTAGTTTTCAGGATAGACAGCAACAGGCAGCGAATTCCAATCCCTTGCTGTTCGCATTATAAGAGTCATCGAAACGCTTAGTGCGAGCTGGTGGAATGTCGACAATATAGGAATGGTACGCTAACCTACGTCTGGTTCCCCGGTGATGGAAGGGGGCTGGTGGAATTAACTCGTGTAATGAACACGAGCGTAAAATTAGTAAAAAGAGTAACTCACGGAATCTCATGCTGCTCGATTAAGTCCAGCTGTTTCAGCAGGAAGCCGATGAACACCTGGTCGCTTAAGTTCGGTAAAGTTTTTAAATCTATATTTATAAAAGCGAAAGGTCACTGATTGATTGACTCACTCACTCATCACGAAATCTCAGAAACTACAAGTGCTAGGAGTCTCAAAGCATGGGGGTTCCTTTTAGAACGTAGGTGCTCACTAATACGGGATTTTAAAAAATTCAACCCCTGGGGGTAAAACGGGATCCACGCGTACTAAGTCGCGGGCGGCCGCTAGTTAAAATTAATGCTTGTAATTAGTAGAATAGAGTGACATAGCCTAACGGATTAGCAAGCTGAAGTGGCAATGGGCAGGACACATAGTACGCAGAACTGACGGCCGATGGGGCAGCAAGGTTCTGGAGTGGAGGCCGCGTACCGGAAAACGCAGCGTGGACGTCCACCCACAAGGTGGACCGACGACATCGTAAAGGTAGCAGGGAAGCGCTGGACGCAGGCCGCTACCAACCGGGTAACATGGAAAGCATTAGGGGAGGCCTATGTTCAGCAGTGGACGTCCTATGGCTGAAATGATGATGTAAACTCAGTAAAAAACTCAGTAAAACTCATTTATTTCTGTAAGTAGGCTTTAAAAAAGCATTTTTACACGTCCCAGTATTAACCCTACCACTGCTTCGGGACAATAAATGGGCCAGTGCTGAGAAGAAGCAGCGCAAGAAACTCAGACACTATTGTCAGCCTCTTTTTCAAAGGTTTACAGGTTTTCAAAATACATAGTTATAATAATATTTATGCGAGCTAGGCAGTTACGCATCCCAAACATTTTTATCTTTTAAATAATCATCGACTTTATAGTAGCCCTTTTTCATTAAGGTACTTTTAATATGTGCTTTGAATTTATGAATGGGTAGTTCTACAACAGTTTGTGGTAATTTATTAAATAATTTAATACATTTCCCCATAAATGAATTCTGATGATGATGAAATGATGAATAGAATCAGGAACTCACGGGATCTCATGCTGCTCGATCAAGTCCAGCTGTTTCAGCAGGAAGCCGATGAACACCTGGTCGCTATCCAGCATGCAGTAGTTGACTCTTAAAGTCAACAGCTGGTTGAGGAGGCACAACACTTTGCACTGGAGGGGTATGTCGTTTTGCATCGTGTAGCTCTGCGGATAGAGTTGAATTTTGAATGGTTAAAATTGATAACAGGATTTCAACTGTGATACAAATACAAATTACAAAATTGTTTATTCAGAATCAGGTTTGAAAAACAGGGTTTCGATTGGGGTTTTCTTTTAAGTATAAGTAGATACTTGTGTTAGAAAACCCCGCTCTCCATTTACAATGATTTACATTATGAAATTATACAGCTAGGAAATACCATGCATATCATTGACTTATTTTACAAACAAGTGGTAAGCGATTTTCTTTTGTGAAACAAATGATTTCGTGTATTTAGCACACACGACGGCGTCTTTATTATTCTGTCAAAATACCTACTTTATATTATAAACTTATTTTTTCTTCAGAATATGAAAAGACCTTTCGAATGCGAGCCGAATTTGCACACCGTGGGTTCTGTACAAACTTGTAGACTAAGAGCTAGTGAACGCCAGACCTACGTCATTTTATAAAAGCTGAAAGTTTGTCAGCGTATGCTCCCAATGTAGGATAGAATGTTGGTGAATTATGAAGTTTGGGTCGTGGTGGCTTTGGGAGCTACCCTAAAAAAACTGTATTTCAAGGAGTTGGAACTGTCAAAACTGTCTGGCTGTTGGGGATAATACTTCTAATTATTGTCCAAATATTATACATAAAAATCAGATTTAATGGTATAACGTAAGTAGAATTACAGTCTTTTGAATATACAGAAAAATCCACCGTAAAAGTTAGACTTACGTTATACTATAAAATCTGATTTTTATGTATAATATTTGGGCAATAATTAGAAGTATTTTCCCCAACAGCCAGACGGTTTTGACAGTTCCAACTCCTTGCCAGACAGTTTTTTTTGGGTAGCTCCCAAAGCCACCATGACCCAAACTTCATAATTCACCAACATTATATCCTATATTGGGAGCATACGCTGACAAACTTTCAGCTTTTATAAAATGACGTAGGTCTGGCGTTCACCAGCTCTTAGTCTATTGTAAGTATTGTCTCATACCACATAGGTCGCGATTAGTTTATTATCAAAAAATAAGTTTTTAATCACATAAGATTATTTTTTGTGATGCTACAACATTTAGATTGTTTTATTTCCCGTAGCTACTGATAATAGACAAACAACGTGTAAGTTTAAGGTAATTAATTAGTTGCCAGTCTAGTTTTGGATGTTAACCAAGATTAGGTGCTAGAGTATTATAAGTTACGGGTTCCTTGAGTTAATAACATTTACTAGATTATTTGATCATCATAAAACACCACATACCTTCAAAGACTGTATAACGACCGGCTCAAACAGCCGTATATACCTCTCCAACTCCTTTTTATTAGTGCTCCATTTCCTGTCAGTTTTGTTCTTCATGAAATTCTCCATACTGATCAGCAATTGCCTTTCAGCTACCATCCTGGGATTCTTACTGTCCAAAGACAACTTCTGACTAGCATTAGAACTTATACTGCTTCTTCGGGATTCTTTATCCGGTATATGAAAGTCATTCACCAACATGACGTCATGGTAGAAACTTGTCTTCTTATTTATTTCAATCTTGTCAGCTATAGTTTGAAAATCTACATACTGGTTGATCATATTTGTGCCGAATAAGCATTTTAGTAGCTGTGTGACGCAGTAGACGGATTTTTCTGGTGATAATGGGATGATGACTTTGAGGTAGTATAGTATTTCTTCGGTCACGTTCCCGAATTCTTTTTCGGTCGCTAACTCTAGTTGGACGGCAAGGCAGTTGAGTACTGTCGTCAGGAATTGGTGGAACATACTGCTTTTCGGGTCTAAGTTTATCTGTAACAGAGAATCATGGAAATGGTGTTTAAAAAGAAAAAAAAAACGTTAGTGTTTGCTTATAATATAGAATAAGAAAGCTTTGCAACATTTTGTAAAACTTAATATTACTTTTGCTTAAAAGAAAGAGAACAAAGAATACAGAAAAATATAACTTCAGATAGCATATACGCCACTTATTATAAAGAACAGGTCACAACGCGTTGTGGTCTCTGCAAAAGCAAAACGTATATTCGTGTCAATAGCTCTTATGAAAACACACGGAGGGTTGTGGCAAAGAAGAAAAGTCATGATTTGATTTGATTTACTGACAGTAGCTGGAAGAAAAGTTGTAAAAAGGAGATCGTTCCCTTTCACGTACCTATTTTAAACAACTATCCACTGGATACCGCCTAAATTATTTCTTTTGTGTGTATTTATTTAATCCATTTATCGTAATAATCGTTCCTTTAAGGAGTCAGTCCTTACCTTGTGATTAGAGTAAGCAGCCCTCAAGTTGTCATAGAACCGCATATAGAAGGGGTCCGTATAGAAATGTCCCGCGAAGTTGGCCCGCAAACTGTTGGCGGGCAGGGGTGCCTTCTTCCGTAGGGCACCCTTGTCGTCTACGTCAGACGCGTTACTGCTCTTGCGGGGAATCGAATCTGGGAAATGATGATTTTTGTTTGTTGTTGTAGAACATGCATTCATAAAATGTATACTACTAAAGACTTAGCACATGAGTAGAGTTGGATATGACATTGACTGCGCTAATATCAACACTCCGATTTTTGTCACGTTGGGCAACGCGTAAGTGTCCCATATAATAATGACATGTACAGTCAGCGTCAAATAGTTCGTGACATACAAAGTAGCCAATAAGTTCGCAACACGTCTTTCATACAATTGAGAATGTTACTAGGTATGCAAAATCACTTGAAACCTATGTTAGAGTTAAGCTTTTACATTTACAAATACATTAGTTTTTATTTCATTCAAAAATACCCAGTAGTTATGATTTTATAGGCATTCAAAGTTCGCTTAAATATTGAGTGCCGCCGACGGTCACGTGACCCCACGTGACGTACATTCACAGTGTCCGCTCACTAGAAAACGGATATAAACATACTTAAATACATTTTTTTTGTAAATACAAACTTATTATACATATTAACACCCAGACCCATCACAGAAATTAAAATTGAACCAAACCCAAACTTGATGCGATTGTGTCGTTTTATTGCGAATTACCTTCCAGCTCCATCATTAGACCCCGATTACTATATAGAATTAAAATACTCATCAATACAAAACGAACGAGCCCAAACTCGATGCATTTAAGTCGTTTTATTATAGAGTTCCTATGGCCACCTTCCAGCTCCATCATCAGATCAGCTCCATGTCATCATAATATTGCATGGTCATCCAAATCACATGTGTTTGCGAAATTTCAGCTTAATCGGTTGCCTGGAAGTGGGTCTTAATTCAGCTTGCAAGATTCCACCCATACAAATATGAGCCAGTCACTGTAATATGACGTCACGCGCATAAAATGGCGGGCCGGCCGCCGCCCGCACTTTTAAAATTCAATATCTTGGAAACTAATTGACGTATCGAAATAATTCTTTCACGTGTATTTTTTATTTTTAACAGAGAATACAGAAAGCTAAAAAAAAACAAAATTAGTGAACATTCTTCATTGGAATAAGGTTATGTTATCAACTTTTTGGCCACTTTGTCACGAACTATTTGACGCTGACTGTACCGGAGGGCGATAATAGCAACACTTGACTATTAGTTCGGATTTTTGCCACTTGACGTTCCAAAATCGTGGAGTGTATTTTAATTCGGTCAAACGTCAGTTAGATTTCAAATCTACAAGACATGTAGACAGATATATGACAGCTACGAGGGCCGGCTGATAATTCCGCGGCCTAAGGTACTTAATGAAATAAAATAAATGGTTTCTATTTTTTATTTTGTAATATAATCTCCCTCAAAAGAAATACATTTCTTAAATCTCGCATACAATGCCTTTTACCCACCCAAAAATTTTTTTTTCAAAATGACGACCAACCGCAGCTTTAATTTCGTTGTCATCTGCATATCTCCGGCCCCGTTAAGTCCTTTTTCAAATCGAAAAACAGGAAAATATCGCTAGGTAATAGGTCTTGGCTATATGGTGGGTGGCCAATCTCTGAGAACCCGGTGTCTTTCAGGGCTTGGCCTCGCAACTCGTGCGGCGTGAACGGGCGCGTTGTCTTGCCGAAAGATCAATCCGCGTGTCAGGTTCCCACGTCATTTCTGTACAATAGCCTCGCGAACATAAAGAAATATTCTTCAGCTATCTGCCACGATTTAATTCTTTGGTCAGCCGGAACGATTTTTTCGACTTTTGAACGTTTCCTTCACTCAGTATCGTGACAGGGCGGGGGTCGTTTTCACAGGTCTCTCGTCCGTGTTGAAATAGTCGGGCCCATTTTTTAACCATGGTATATGAAGGTCCAGAATCCTGAAGAACCAATGACATCTCTTCAAAAATGTCTTTCGGTCTATTTTCCTTCTTTACGAGGAATTATGTCCGCGGCGCGCGGTGTCGAAATTCCGCAAATCTCCAGATTTGGCGGACATGGTGATGTCATTTGTTCGATAGAAATTGAACTATCAGTGCAAACTTAATTAGTGATTGCTTTTTATAATACTACTGAGTGTCGCAACTAGTGACATGAGTAACATGCTAATTACTCATCGCTAAGTACCTTAGGCCGCGGAATTATCAGCCGCCCCTCGTATGATACGACGTCAGATGTCACCCTTACCATACCCCTGCCACAGGATTGTGTATTATGTGGTATGCTTGTGTATTTTATCAAAAATATTTAAAACACTTGTTTAATATGATTTCTTATTGCAAACATAACTTTCTCAGTTTCAAATTAAATTAATCTAAGTTTCAGTAAAGGTAAAGCAACTAAAATTAACCCACCTTGAGTTTTCCGCCTCACCGGACTACCAGGCAAGGCGATCCCACCCTTATTCAAGTGGACATTAGGGTTAACTTCCTCTATCAAATGCACCAACACGTTTAACATCTTCAGAGTAACTTGCAGAAACTTCTCGGCTAAGTTTGCAACTTTCTCGCTCTCGAGGTGTTGCCATCTCTCTCTGACGTTTTGGGAGTCGCGCTCGAAGATGTCGCGGTTGGTTGTCTTGTGTTTCATTATGTTGTGGATTTCAACTGGAAAGTAAATAAAAATCATATAAATAACAAAATTAGTAATGTACATTTTGTTATGAGATATCAAATTGCTACTCCTGCATGCTTTGCTTTCATAGATTTAGATCTGGACTTGTTTTTAGTAAAATAAAACTAACACACTTCATTAACTAGCCCAAGAATTGAGGTGGCATTCTAACATGTCATCATAAATCGATGCGGATTTTACCAAATCCAAAGTTCGTCGTTGTTTCTTTTGGTCTATTAAATGGGTCTCATAAGACGGCTCAAGGTCACCCAAAGGGCGACGGTGCGTGCTATGCTCGGAGTTTCCCTGCTCTTAAACTTACCAGAGGCAAATGGGGGATTTAGCCTACACTCCCCATGATGGCTACCCATGATTGGGAAGAACACTACTGCCAAAGGCAGTCTACTTCTACCCCCCTAGACAAGTGTCAAAACGTTACAATTGTAATTTAGAAATCCTATCGCTCTGACGTTTTTTGTAAGGCTAGACGTAAGTCTCCCATCAAACGCTGCAAAGCACGCCCTCCCGCTTTTTTCACCAGCTGCCTACCATCTTCTTAAGGTCGTCTGTCCATCCAGCCGCTCATTACCTGGGTACATGAAGGCGCACAGGGCCAGCGCGGCGGCCCGCGCGGCGACGGCGGCGTCGCAGCAGGCCAGGCTGTCCAGGCAGGAGCCCAGCAGCCCCTGCGAGGAGCACGCGCCGGGGTTGCTCCACGGAGACCAGAGAGAGCAGACCGCTGAGGGCGTCTGTCCATCCAGCCGCTACCAGCATCCTGAGCTTGACAAGGAGACCAGAGAGAGCAGACCACTGAGGGCGTCTGTCCATGCAGCCGCTACCAGCATCCTGAGCTTGACAAGGAAACCAGAGAGAGCAGACCACTGAGGGCGTCTGTCCATCCAGCCGCCACCAGCATCTTGAGCTCGTCGTTCGGTCTTGCTATGGATGAACCTTATGAAAAGGCTCAAGGTCACTCAAAGGGCGACAGTCTGCTCGAAGAAACTTGCCCACCACTGGGCGTCTTTACATCTAGCTGCTTGCAGCAACCTGGAGTTCGTTGCTAAGTTTCGTTCGGTCTTACTATGGGTCTCATAAGAAGGCTCAAGGGCGACGGAGCGTGCTATGCTCGGAGTTTCCCTGCTCTTAAACTTACCAGAAGCGATTGGAAGGTTTGGACTACACTCCCCACCATGGTTAGAACACTATTAGAATGGCAGTCCAGTAGTAAGACCACCTGACTCAGACCTAAAGGTCCCGTTCTAGTAAAGAACTAAGACAGCCAGATCCTCTTTGGTTGAGGATTCCAGGTGAAGCTCGCTTCCACCTTCAGCCTGGTCACTTTTCGTAAGGTGTGATGCAAGCCAGAGCTTCCTCGTTGTAGATGAACAATTCCGTCGATCAATCTAGCAAATGCCTATAAATACAAAGGTCGTCGGTCCATCCAGCTGCTCTTACCTGGGTACATGAAGGCGCACAGGGCCAGCGCGGCGGCCCGCGCGGCGACGGCGGCGTCGCAGCAGGCCAGGCTGTCCAGGCAGGAGCCCAGCAGCCCCTGCGAGGAGTACGCGCCGGGGTTGCTCCACGGAGACCAGAGAGAGCAGACCACTGAGGGCGTCTGTCCATCCAGCCGCTACCAGCATCCTGAGCTTGACAAGGAGACCAGAGAGAGCAGACCACTGAGGGCGTCTGTCCATCCAGCTGCTACGAGCATCTTGAGCTTGTCGTTCGGTCTTACTATGGATGGACCTTATAAAAAAGCTCAAGGTCACTCGGCGACAGCCCGCTCAAAGAAACTTGCACACCACTGAGGGTCTTTATATCTAGCTGCTTGCAACCTTGAGTTCGTTGCTAAGTTTCGTTCGGTCTTACTATGAGTCTCATCTCAGAAGAAGGCTCAAGGTCACCCAAAGAGCACTGGAGCTTGCTATGCTCGGAGTTTTCGTGACCGCTAAAGCTTACCAATGCAAATGGAGGATTTGGTCTACACTGTCTGACCATGATGGCTACTCATGGTTAGGAAGAACACCATTGGCCAATGATACGCCACAAAGCATGGCCACTGGCTTTTGTCTTCTACCCGTCTACAATGTCTTGAGGTAGTCAGTCAATCAAGCAGATGGCTACACTGGGTATCATCATCATTCTAAATCCTATCGCTCTGACGTTTTATGTGTCTCCCAAAAAACGCTGCAAAGCACGCCCTCCCGCTTTTTTCACCAGCTGCCTACCATCTTCTTAAGGTCGTCGGTCCATCCAGCCGCGTATTACCTGGGTACATGAAGCCGCACAGGGCCAGCGCGGCGGCCCGCGCGGCGACGGCGGCGTCGCAGCAGGCCAGGCTGTCCAGGCAGGAGCCCAGCAGCCCCTGCGAGGAGTACGCGCCGGGGTTGCTCCACGGAGACCAGAGAGAGCAGACCGCTGAGGGCGTCTGTTCATCTAACAAAGCTTGCACACCAATAAGGGCGTCTGTCAATGCAGCCGCTACCAGCATCCTGAGCTTGTCGTTCGGTCTCACTATGGATGGACCTTAAAAGGCTCAAGGTCACTCAAAATGCGACAGCCCGCTCGAAGAAACATGCACACCATAAGGTCGTCTTTATAACTAGCTGCTTGCAGCAACCTTGAGTTCGTTGCTAAGTTTCGTTCGGTCTTACTATGGGTCTCATTAGACGGCTCAAGGTCACCCAAAGAGCACTGGAGCTTGCTATGCTCGGAGTTTCCCTGTACTGAAACTTACCAGAAGCGATCGGAAGGTTTGGACTACACTCCCCATCATGGTTAGAACACTATTAGCCAATGGCAGTCCAGTAGTATAACCCCCTGTCTTAGACCTAAAGGTCCCGTTCTAGTAAAGAGCTCAGACAGTCAGATCCTCTTTGGTTGAGGATTCCAGGTGAAGCTCGCTTCCACCTTTAGCCTGGTCACTTTTCACCAGGTGAGATGGGAGCCAAAGCTTCCTCGTTGCAGATGAACGATTCCGTCGATCCATCTAGCAAATGGCTATGAATACAAAAGGTCGTCTGTCCATCCAGCTGCTTACCTGGGTACATGAAGGCGCACAGGCCCAGCGCGGCGGCCCGCGCGGCGACGGCGGCGTCGCAGCAGGCCAGGCTGTCCAGGCAGGAGCCCAGCAGCCCCTGCGAGGAATACGCGCCGGGGTTGCTCCACGGAGACCAGAGAGAGCAGACCGCTGAGGGCGTCTGTCCATCCAGCCGCTACCAGCATCCTGAGCTTCACAAGGAAACTAGAGAGAGCAGACCACTGAGGGCGTCTGTCCATCCAGCCGCTACCAGCATCCTGAGCTTGACAAGGAGACCAGAGAGAGCAGACCACTGAGGGCGTCTGTTCATCCAGCAAAACTTGCACACCACTGAAGGCGTCTGTTCATCCAGCAAAGCTTGCACACCACTAAGGACGTATGTCCATGCAGCTGCTACGAGCATCTTGAGCTTGTAGTTCGGTCTTGCTATGGATGGACCTTAAAAGGCTCAAGGTCACTCAAAGAGCGACAGCCCGCTAGAAGAAACTTGCACCACTGAGGTCGTCTTTACATCTAGCTGCTTGCAACCTTGAGTTCGTTGCTAAGTTTCGTTCGGTCTTACTATGGGTCTCATAAGACGGCTCAAGGGCAACGGAGCGTGCTATGCTCGGAGTTTCCCTGCACTTGTACTTACCAGAAGCGATTGGAAGGTTTGGACTACACTTCCTACCATGGTTAGAACACTATAGCCAATGGCAGTCCAGTAGTATAACCCCCTGTCTTAGACCTAAAGGTCCGGTTCTAGTAAAGAACTCAGACAGTCAGATCCTCTTTGGTTGAGGATTCCAGTTGAAGCTCGCTTCCACCTTCAGCTTGATCACTTTTCACCAGGTTAGATGGAAGCCAAGAGTTTCCTCGTTGTAGATGAACAATTCCGTCGATCCTTCTAGCATATGGCTATGAATACAAAAGGTCGTCTGTCCATCCAGCTGCTTACCTGGGTACATGAAGGCGCACAGGGCCAGCGCGGCGGCCCGCGCGGCGACGGCGGCGTCGCAGCAGGCCAGGCTGTCCAGGCAGGAGCCCAGCAGCCCCTGCGAGGAGCACGCGCCGGGGTTGCTCCACGGAGACCAGAGAGAGCAGACCACTGAGGGCGTCTGTCCATGCAGCCGCTACCAGCATCCTGAACTTGACAAGGAGACCAGAGAGAGCAGACCACTGAGGGCGTCTGTCCATCCAGCCGCTACCAGCATCCTGAGCTTGACAAGGAGACCAGAAAGAGCAGACCACTGAGGGCGTCTGTCCATGCAGCCGCTACCAGCATCTTGAGCTTGTCGTTCGGTCTCACTATGGACTTAAATTTACCAGAAGCGATTGGAAGGTTTGGACTACACTCCCCACCATGGTTAGAAGAACACTATAGCCAATGGCAGTTCAGTAGTAAAACCACCTTACTCAGACCTAAAGGTCCCGTTCTAGTAAAGAACTAAGACAGCCAGATCCTCTTTGGTTGAGTATTCCAGGTGAAGCTCGCTTCCACCTTCAGCCTGGTCACTTTTTACCAGGTTAGATGGAAGTCAGAGTTTCCTCGTTGTAGACTCATCGGTCTATCGAGCAGATGGGTACACCACGTTTCTTACCTGGGTATATGCGGAGACCACAGCTGCAGACCACTGAGGCCGTCTGTCCATCCAGCGACACTAGCACACCACTAAGGTCGTCTGTCCATCCAGCTGCTCTTACCTGGGTACATGAAGGCGCACAGGGCCAGCGCGGCGGCCCGCGCGGCGACGGCGGCGTCGCAGCAGGCCAGGCTGTCCAGGCAGGAGCCCAGCAGCCCCTGCGAGGAGTACGCGCCGGGGTTGCTCCACGGAGACCAGAGAGAGCAGACCGCTTTAAGGGTGTCTGTCCATCTAGCGCCGCTTGCACACCACTAAGGGCGTCTTTCCATGCAACCGCTTCCAGCATCTTGAGCTAGCCGTTCGGTCTTACTATGGATGGACCTTATAAAAA